CGTAAAGAAATACTTACAATCCGATACAAATCACATAAAAAAGAAAAAAAAATCTGTCACTGTTGCATTTCGTACCAACACAGCCAACTTTTTGTTTCCATGAAATAAATTCTTCGTAGTGGTAAAAAATCTATGGCACAGATTCGAGAAAAATATCACTAATACTGAGAAAAAACTTGTTCCGTGTGTGTCATAGGGCACTTGCAAAGATCGAAAAATGTATTTATTTTATTGAGTTTATCAAGCACTTTTCAAGAAGTTTTTACCTAGAATTGAATTTCCGTTTAACTCGAATCCACCCCGTGTTTCATATATGTAACGCTTTTTGACAAGTAACGAACCTTGGTACTTAAAATCGAACGAGTGATAATATCATTATGCTATAGCATGTTTATGATTCCTAAAGGATGCTTCTATCCAATGATACTGTTGGATCTAAAGTTGATTGAATTGTTTTCAAGTTACAGCTCTTCAAACTATAATCGATGGCGCGCTTTGTTTATATAAACTGATTATTTCATTCTTAACGAGAATTTGTTAGTTGAATCGAGTGCAGTGTGCGTTTGTTATGAGTCGAAATCGTTTCATGCCGAAAAGAATGAAGAATAATATATTTAATACGAAAAAAATAAAAAATCTGTTCTCGGTGCCAAGGTGCCACAAGCGGCACAGTGGCACCAGATTTGGACAGGCCTGAAACAGTAGGACGAAAATGAAACAAAAACCTATTTTTTCAAAACAAATGATTTTGACGGCAGCGGGATGACTCAATGTGAATTGTCATTACTATTTTCCATTTGGTTGATTGTTCGCTGGGAAATGAAGCGGTAATTCATCATATTATTTTGCCTATATTCTTCAGTGTTTTTAGGGCTGCAATTAGCACTTAATTCTTTGTGATTCCGTTGAGTAGCGTCGTTGTCAATGGCAATTGAAAAATCGTGTTCGCAAATTAATGAATCTATGTTGCATTAGCCTATCGTTGCGTTTAGTCAGTGCTTTTTTGCTTCTCCTTTCTCGTATGTGTGACTCACTCTCTGCAACATTTTCGCTCATTGGCATTCAGAACTTTTCTATTCAACGCAATGAGGGTTGTGAGCGTGTGTATCTGTTTTTCGTATGCACAATCATCCATACACTCTTCCTTCTCTCTCTAGTTGGCATTCACTCTTTCTCTAGTCCTAGCAATGGTTGCATACATTTCGTCTAGTTTTAAGATATGTACGAATCGAAATATCTTCATTTCGCACAGCCTGTCATTCCATTCTACAATTCACGCTCATTCGAATAAAACATCAATCCACGTTATGTTTTTTCTTCTTCTATTGCGTTCGAACAACAACAAAAACAACGACGACGACGATGACGAAAAAAAAAGATCACTTAAAAGCATTTTGAATCCATTTGACGTAGATGAGCATATTGTGTTTGTGTGAAAATCGTTCGCCGCAACTTTTCCAACTCTACTCCAAATCGACGACTGAGAGCGACCGTGTGCGAGCGGGAACGGGCAAATACACAGCATACACACAGTGCATAAGCAAGAGCGTAGCTCACACACAGCAAGCAAACGAAATACATTTGGAAAATTGATAACGATGATGACTGCGATGATAATATGTGGAGAGAAAGAAAGGAAAAAAGCACACACACACCAGCGTTCCTTTTGGCACACGTGCAGATGCATTAGTGTAATTGGACACTAATCGAGATGAAACATTTTCGTTGCCCCGCGCCCTTTCGCTCGCTTTCGTTTGCTCGTTTCGCGCGGTAATGCGGCTTGATAGAAATTTCGATGGACAGGAAACAAAAGTAATGAAGCAAAGTTGACAGCTCTCTCGGTATTTCGTCATCATCATGATAACACATTCCGCCCCATTTATGATACTCTCTCCTTCTCTCTCTCTCTCACACACATACACACTGACGATATATCGCATTAGGCGAATTGAATTACAAGACGTGTGCATTTCATTCAATTACAATTTCCCGAAAATTTTCATATGGATTTGCACGTGATTTCATCGTCGTTTTGAGGTTTTACCATTCCGAATGGCAACGGCATTTATCACGGCAACTGGATTAGAATGGAAACAAAAACCACTCGCGTATTTCCATATTATGCCATTCGAAAACTAACTAATGGCCATCGTTGATTTCAATTTATTATGCACTTCAGCTATATGTATGCGCTTAGGTCAAGTGGAAAAAAGGTCAAACGAAATTTGTTGGTAATTAACCTATTACTTAATTTAGATGCAAAAATTATTCTTATCAGTGGGAATCAAATCAACTCAAATGATATTATATAAATGACGGAAAGTAATCCGAATGTAAGTAATGAATATTAATGTGAAATAGTTCAACTATCCAACTTAAGATATAATTTCGATAGAAATACCTGTCAAAACGGTTGATTTTGTAAATGAAGTGTTGAAAATTTGAATTTCAAAAAAAAAAATCCATCAATCGTTTGAATAAATTAAGGCGAGTTTAACAGCAGAAATGAGTTGAATGCATTAAGGTCTGTTCACACAATGAAATGTCATCACATTTTGACAGTTGTCAGTTTGCCCGCCGTCAAATGTAAACAAAAAAATCGTTGTTAATCACGTCGTATCCGCATAGCAAGCAACTGAGTAAATTTAAAGCATATTTTACGTGACAAAAGTAGTGTTTTTTCCTCAATCGGCGATAAAAAAGCGGAAAAAATGGATTCGGACGATAATTGCTTAGTTATCGACGAGAGTATGGACGTAGATATGGAGGTAACATCGACAACACAAAGTCGTGCTGAAACTCCAGTTAGTGGAATCGAAACCAGTAAAGATAAGACTCCGCACGAAAATTGGATAAATTCATCGCACAAATCATCTGAAGATGGTACTCCAAAGCAAAAAGAACGAAATGCCGATCGAAACAGAAATAAATCGACATCAACACCGAGCAAGGACCGAAAACGCAGTATGTCAAAGCGTTCCCACTACATTCGTTTGACGCCAAATGTGTTCCGAGAAAAAACATTGAATGTAAGTTGAGTCATGGGGTAATATCATTGTGTTTTTTTTTCACTAATTTTCATGATGGAGAAAGTATTTTAATTGGTTTATTATTAAAAATGCGACAATTTAAAAATAAATCGAATGTATTTGTTATAGGTCACAGCCCAGAAGCACCAATTGTACAACATGCAATTTTCGGTAAAAGGAAGCCTATTGATTGGAGAAACGCCATCGGTTTATCCCGCCCAAACGCCATTTCCTGATCTCAATTTGACGCAATTGTTGAATTGGCCCGGCATCAAAATTAACATTAGTCTCGAACATTTCTCATTCAATCACGAGCTTAAGGAAAACTGTGTACGTGACATTGTGTTTGGAGACGAGGTAATGCTGAATATTGATACACAAAAGAATCCGGCTGAGACTCGATACCTGCAAAAAGTGCCATCAAGCAAAACATATGCAATGGTATGCAAAGAAATGGTGGAAACGTATGTGAAATCGTTGATGGAAGCCGCACCGTTATACGAGGTTGGACCATCCAAGTTGCCTGAAATTGAAAAATCTTTCCAGAAAATACTCGATAACATCGCCACCGTACCATTTGCATCGATTCAAACCCGAATCACACACACACGTTTCCTAAATGAACAAAAATACTATCGAGTGTTTGACAATGACTCAGGCGCAGTTGCCGCTGCTGACAACAACAATTTGAAGGTTAGGTTACGCGAAACCATCAATCCCGAAGCGATTTTTTGGATCCGTCGATGCGATTTTACATTGGATCAAATTGATGTTTGGTACGATGCAATTGACGAATTTTTCGAAAATATTTTCGTGAAGAAAGGCGATCGAATCAAAGAGACATTACGGGATCGGTTCAAGAAGTGTCTCACCTTGAAGTGTGAATCATGCAACGAAAGTTTTGAAGGTGCACTGTGGGCCGTCAAACTGAAGGATCACATCAAGCAAAAACATTTTGTCGACAAAGAATGGACCTGTGTCAAATGTAAGCGCTCATGGGAACAGTTTGAACTACTTCAAATGGGATGGAAACACGATTGCTCATTCAACGACCACTAATCAACACGTAATACACCAACACAATGTATACAAACAAAAGTCAACATTTGGAACATTTTCAATACCTCACACTTGAATTTCAAAGATCTGCTCATTCGTTTAGGGACTAAAAGACTAAAAAACCAACAAAAAAAAAACAACCACACTTATCGCATATATATATTCATATTTATCTTTTCATGTTTCACATTTTTTTCACACTTCAAGTTTACCTAATTAATAAATTTACCTGACTTCAAAGAATGAAACCAAATCTAGGCGATATATATATATGTATAAAGAAAACTTTGAATTAAACGAAATAAACTTAAATTAAACTACAAAACAAAATCTTCGTCTCCATCATCTTCTGGTTCGAAATCCATGTCTTCATCTTCTTCATCACTGTCCTTGTAAAGCTTTTTCTTCTTTTTTTGGCCAATCTTTTCGGTTGCATCTTCGAGTTTCACTTCGGCTTGGCTTGACCGATGGTGGAACACGAACGAAACACACTTTGACACATCCCAGGCTTGGCTCAGAATATCATCCGATATGCCTTTGTTGTTGGAACAATGATACCATTGTGATAAATCCGATGTACAATCGGAATCGGGCGGTGGTAATTTCACTTGAACGTTATCCACACAACGTTTGCATTTGAAGCTATTTTGAGAAGAAAGTAAAAATACAATAATAATTAATTAATTGAAATAATTTGAAATCCATTTCTTATACCGAAAAAAAAATTCTATGTGAATATCAAAAACTTACATCGCATGAGTATCAGACAAACAATGTTCATCCAAGCTGAACAAATCACGTAGATCATCTTTCGTAAAGTGACGTTCACCATTTTCTTCGTTGTCAACGATGGCATTCGATAGTGCCTTCTTGTGAGCTTGACGCTGGAAGATTTTTTCCTCAATCGTTCCCGCCTGGAAATACCAAAATAAGATCGAAAGGTTTCAATTAAAATGTACTATTTTAAATTGAATTACAAAAAATATCTTTACCGCAAGCATTCGATAAATGAAACAGGGTTTCGTTTGTCCATCACGCCAAACTCGAGCCATTGCCTATGGACATTCGGTAAAAACAGACAATTTAATTAAACCGTATTCAAAAATTATAATTTCAAAGATGAAAAATTGTTACTTTCATCAATAAAGTTCAATTTTTGTTCATTTCATGAAGAATTTCCACGAGAAGACTTACTTGATCGTCATTGGCTGGATTCCAGTCGGGATCAAACATAACCAATCGATTTGCACCGATCAAATTCAGACCGCAGCCGCCAGCTTTTGAGCTCAACATAAAAACAAATCGATCTGAGTCGGGTTTGTTGAATTCGGCCACCACTTTTCCACGTTTTTTAATTGTCATTGTGCCATCGAGTCGGACATAGCCGTAGCCACGTTTTCGACACAGACGTTCAAACATATCCAATGTTTGTGTGTAGTTCGAAACCAACACAATTTTATCGGTGGTGTTTGATTTTATGCTGGCCAACATAATGTCCAACAGCATCAATTTTCCACTCAAATCCGGACGAAGATCTCTGAAATGTGCAATTCGGGTATTAATGTATTGTAGTTTAGAAGAAGTGAGAGGAAAAATAAGAATAGGGAGAAAAGAGTGAGTGTAAAAAAAAAACAGAAATAAGAATTCAAAAAATAAATAATGGCAAACACTTGATTACAACAAAAGAGTGATGAAAATAAAAGATGTCCATACTTTTTGCTGTATCCATCAGGCAGGTATTTGGCAGTGTTGGCAAAACCATCTACACCATCGGTGATCTTTTCCATGACAAGATCAGGATGATTGCATAGTTTCTTGAGATTCGTGATGTTTGCGAGTGCCGTCATTGTGTTTGGTGAATTCTCTTTACCTGTGTAAAATTTTGTATCAGTAAATAAAAACATTTTACGAAATCAACGCAAAATCGATTTCAATCACTTACCAAGAACCGCTTTGCGAACATTATCCGATGCCAAAAAGCTTTTGTAAATGTCCGATTGGACTTTGCTCAGTTTAACGCAAATCACCATTTCGAATTTGACTGGCAGGTACTTTGTGAGAATTTGATTCGTTCTACGAATCAAACACTGATTGACAATGTTTGTCAATTGTGTGACTTTTTCAGTGGCTTGTTGGCGATCTTTGTCAGTACAGTTGGCATCTTGGCCGCGCAGAATGATGTTCTCGTAATTCTTCTTGAATTCCTGCAGAGCCGATGAGATTTATGAAAATTCAATTGACAAATAAAGAAAGAAACAAATTCAGTAGGTATTTTTTTTGCAATTGTCATTAGCCTTACGTTTCGTGTGCCCAGCATTCCTGGATTGACGAAATGAATCAAGCTAAAGTATTCGGTGAGATCGTTTTGAATTGGTGTACCGGACAACAAAACTCGTCGTTTCGTCTTCAATCCCATCAGAGCGTTGTACGTCTGATTTTCACAGTTCTTCAATCGATGACCTTCGTCGCATAGCAACAGTCCAACTTCCGATTCGCACAAGATCTTTGCGTAATTTCGAAATGTTTCGTAACTGATAATGAGCACTGGGCAACCGGTTCGGGCACTTTGACTCGCCATAAATCGTTCCAGTCCACGTGATGTTTCTTCTTTTGCCTGATTTTCAACAGCATATGCATTTATACGATGACCTAACCACTTTCCAAATTCGTTGTACCAATTTTTGACCAGTGAACTTGGACAAACGATAATCGCTTTGATGATTGTCGGTTTGCATTCTGGACTTTGGCGCAGGAGTGTCCACAATAGTGTGATGCATTGCAGTGTTTTACCCAAACCCATCTGGAAAAATAAGAAGAAAATCATGAATTTCAGAAAATTAGGAAAAAAAACATTTTTTTTTTCATCCAAAAATTCGTTAAAATGAAAATAATGCTAGTGCCAAGTATGAAACATACCTCGTCTGCCATGATGCAACCATGGAAATCACCTTTTACACCAGTCACACAGTCGTACATAAATCGAACACCTTCACGTTGATGCGGCCGTAAAATGTTACCAACCACTGGATCGACAACCACGTGAACCAAAACTTTTGATTTATCTTGTAAAAGCCGCTCATGTTCGCTGACTTTGCCTTGTTCTTGCGGTGGTATGTACAGTACCAGAGCGTTGCAAGCGTTCGGATCGTGAAGCGCACGTCGAATAACTGTTCGACGAAGGCCGAGACAACGATTTCCATGTGTATCGGGCACATAGTCTGGAATGGGCACTTTAAATGGTTTGCTCAGCAGTTTGGCCACCAACTCTTCATATGTGCTCATCGATTGAACGGGTCGCGTTGGTGCGATGCAACGGTTTTCCTTCTTCTCTTCGCGGCATTTTCGTTTCGGTTGTGGTCCGCCAATCAATGGACTTTTGAATGGTTTGAATCCGGTCGTAGTATTACTTCCCAGGCCCACGGTAAGAGGTATTCCACTGACAGTTTTGTTTATTGTACGGTTCGCCGCCAACTGGCTGGGCGCTAAACTTCGTCGCTGTGAATGAAAAAAAAAATGGGAAAAAATGTATGAAAAATATTTCAAAAATTCAACAAAATTAAATGGTAATGTGCACAAAATATTATTGTTCAAAATTTGTGGGTCAAAATATGGAAAAAAATCCAATGGTTTGAATGTGAATGAAAAACACTTGACTTCATACCATTTTGTTTGCCGTTAAACAGATAACAATGGTTCAACAGCGTATACACTAGCAAAAATACACAATGTGAAATTGTCCATGCCGAAATCACATGGAAATCCGATTCCCGTTAACACCAGACAGTCGCAGTGTGCATTCGTGTTTGCTTTGTTGTACGAGACAAAACTTGTTCGTTCTTGTTATTGTTTGTGTTAAAATTGCGCGGCAAAATGTGCCACTATAAACAATCACCACAGAACCCTTTTCTTCGATAAGTATTTCAAACTAAATTGTTGAAAAAAAAAACACAAAAAATTTCTCGATTGTCTATGATAAATGTTAACTTTTGATTCAGTCTTATTAAGTATCAAAATGTAATAAATTGAATGTTTGATGTAAAATGAAGCAACGACGAAATAAACAGAAGAAAAACAGAAAAGAACGCGTCTGAATGGTACAACTGCAAGCAGAAAAATGTTCCGTGGTCAACTGTCAAAACAAACTTCGTTGAGTAGATGGTTGTACTTAAGGAAGACGTCACACGCACAGCTGGAAAACGTCAATGTGTGTTTTTTTCTGCAACTATACAAAACATGTCAAATTTGATTAAGTGCTGAGCAAAACAGAAAAGAGAAACAGAAAAAGAGAAGAAAAAATTCGATCGAGTTGTTTGACATAGTCAATTATTTGCTCCAAAGCAACCAATTCATATCGTATCACACCCACATGCGATAATTTCTTTGTTGTTGATTCGTCTTTTTTCCGATTTAGTTTCAAATGCAAGCAATAATTTGTGTGATTAATAAAGGTATCTAAGTGCCACATGTCTATTTATATATCGATTGCTGATTTTCAGTGCAAATACTAAACGAAATTGCCTACGTTGGCCAATCAGTTGAAAAAGACAAAAGTTGAGAGACAGATATCAATTGGTTATGAGCATAATACAAACTAATGTCAATTGAAACGTATTATGCCCAAACCATTCTTTGCAACACATACTTCGAATTAAAAATATTTTTAAAAACGTCGTCAAACCAACAAAGAAATGGCAATTACAGCGACTAAAACGCATGAAAATGATTAATTCCATTTTGTTGGCATGGAATTGATTGTTCAATTCCCAAATGGAACACACACACATACAATTTCAACTCAATTAACACAACAGTTTTCCACTTGTGAAACGCTTGACGCGAATCATCACCCAGCAAAATGGCAATCAAAGATTTGCTTGTTGTTCGCATTATAGCCAGTATTCCGTTAAAAATTTGGACAGCGTCCGGAGCGGCGCTGCTCACATGCTTCATCGTTTATTGCTTTTATGGATCTTTAGTAGCGCTAGCACTTCTCACTTCCACTATTTTATGTATGTATTTTCTGATATTTTTAACCATTTTGAAGCGAAAACACACATATTAATCGAAATTTATCCATTCCAGATGTTCTGTATCAAGTGCAAGATAACCTACTTTATCACCCGGAAATTCCACAACATTCCCGAATCTATGTGCCAATGCCTTCAATGTACAAAATGCCATTCGAAACGGTTCACATTCGATCGACTGACAATGTGATTCTGCACGCGTTTTGGATACGACATCCCGGCCAAAGCGGCATGCTTGTACCAAACATCATTTATTTCCACGGCAATGCTGGCAACATGGGACATCGATTGCAAAATGTAACTGGACTCTTTTTTACGTGCCGTTGTAATATTCTTTTGGTGGATTATCGAGGCTATGGTCTATCGACCGGTGTACCTACCGAACGCGGTTTGCACGCTGATGCTCGGGCTACATTTGACTATCTCTTTACACGGCATGACATTGACTTAAATCAAATATGCATTTTTGGTCGATCGCTCGGTGGAGCCGTTGCCATTGACTTGGCTGCCGATCCGGAATACAATCAACGAATCATGTGCGTTATATTGGAAAACACATTCACCGGCATACCTGAAATGGCCGCCGAATTGATTCATCCAGGCCTAAAGTATTTACCATTGTTTTGTTACAAAAATCAGGTGAGAGAAAAATGGGTCAATATCAAATTTTGGTTACAACATTTTTTATTTCACGGTGTAATGCGCATATTGCGCATTCGAATTGTTTATTTTGGCCCTTTTTGGACAACTTTTTGAAAATTATTCGCTAGACTTCAGTAGATGATTTAAGTAAGATTAGACATAATACAAAGATTAATGTTTTCAATAGGTTTCAATTAGTAACAAATTAAATTCATAAATCGAATTTTCTATTTTCAGTATATGTCAGCATATAAAATTCATTTTTTTTCAACGCCGTGCCTCTTTGTATCAGGACTGGCTGATACGCTGTGAGTATCGTTCAAGTGGTGGAATTTTCGCGATGATAAATTATATCACAACTTTGATAAAAATGTGTTTCACAAATTTTCAGCGTTCCACCACGGATGATGAATCATTTATACTCAAAATGTGGGAGTCTACGCAAGGAATTGTTGCAGATTGCCGGTGGCACTCACAATGACACATGGACAGGAAATGGGTGGGATTTTTGTTTATTATTTTTGGAACGAAATACGTTTTACATTTAAAAATTGCTATTTTTGGTCATTCGATAGCCCATATTTAACCAATGTTCATTTGCAGTACAAAATGCATTTAAAACTATTCATTCTGTCCAAAGTTTGATTGACAAAAACCATATTTTTCTTTCATTTTAAGTTTTTTTTGGCATTTTTTCTTATATTTAACAGTTAAATTTCAACTCTAATTTTTTTCCTCCTAATCCAGATACTACAACGGTTTAGTGCGATTTTTATCGGAATGCAAGGAACAACGAGGTCCTCTCCAAAAGCCGCCTACTCGAAACAAAGACGAATGGCCAAAAATCGAAGAAGTTTAATTTTAGTCAAGCATTTAGATAGGAATTTGAAGTTTGATTGTTAATTTAAATAGCCCTTACACTGTGAGTTTCGCAGCCATCATAAGCCAAAAATGGAACATCGACGAATGAACCAGCAGAAGTCCATGAGTCGAAAATTGGAAGGCTGGCAATGTTCACATCCAAAATGAAATCACTATATGAAGTTGGAATTAAGAGGATCAATAGAGAATTAATCGCACCGTGATACAAAATGGCAATTAAGTGATTGGATTTGTGCTTTGTTGTAGTTCGAAGTAGAAGAAGGTGAACATATGGAAATTGTGCCTTTGTCTTAGTTTGGAGAAAAACAAATCATTTTTTCGTTTTTAATTTTTAGCACATACTGTTTTGATTTTGCTTTTAACATAGACTGATTAGACACTCTTCTCTGTTACTGACCTAGATTAAATAGCGTTTAGGATGATGAATTGATTTTTTTTTAAATGATATCAAATGTGGACGTTTCTTCCTTTCTTTTACTGAATACCTCTGCCATTGGATAATACACTAATTGATTGCAAACAAATGAATAAAATATTAAAATTGAATCAAACATTTCACTGAGCTTTCGCTTGTTTTTCTGGGATACATGACCTTTTTTGCTTGCAGTTGCGGAAAACAAAGTTTGTTTGGTGTATAAATTTCAAAGCGCCTACGCCATCGCATGAAATTCAGCTGTTTCAATCATTTTTTATTTGAAAAGGTTAAATCTGATTGGATTGCAACGAGCGCGTGGATGAATCAAACTGCAGAAAACAAGGTCAATAACAAATATATCCAAATCGTACATCACACGAGGTGTTTTTAATTACGCTTATAATTGCTGCCAACCAGTCAAATAGCCATTTCCTCGGCCAATCAATATGTTTTTTTAGCACTACATGAAATGTAGGACTACTAATCTGCTTATTTTTTCTTCCTAGATACTTTTTGAGTGTTGAAACAAATTATGGTGAATTTGAATTTTATGCTCATATTTTTTTATTTAATTCAAAACAGTGGCAGTAACGACAAATAAGTGCATAATATCTCAAAGCGCCAATCAAATTTTTATTATCAAATGTTGTTTAAAAATTACATTAATTTTTCGTATAATATTTTCTGAGTCTTGACCAGAATTAAAGTGATTTTAGATTCTATGCTCATATTATTTATTTAATTTAAACCAAAGGCAGTATATTTCAAAAAAGAAATTAAACCAAGATCTTGTAATTCATTTTGCAAATAAATATATTACTTCAAAGTTACTTTGATGAAATACATTTCATGTAGTGCGCCAAAAAATAGTTTGTTGTAAAACAACAAAATAGATTAAGTAACTAAAAACTCAAGAACGCAGAGCGGAGCGAAGCCAAGCTCTGCGGTCTTGTTTACCTTGCATTGCGTCCTACAACTAAATTGGTATGTTTTTCAATGGAAAATCCATAACGAATACATCATTTCACCACATTTACGTATTGAACTCTCCCTGAAAATCAACCACTTGTTTCTCGATCAGTTTCAATCTAATTCAGTTTGGATTTTCAATCAAACAGCTCAAGATGCTTCACATTTTTCTTGTGAATTTCTCAAATATATCCAAAATGAATTAATCATATCATAAACGGATTTTATATTTCCTTGTTGAAATATATTTCTTCAGATTTGAAGTGGTTTTAATTTCGTTATACAACTTTTGAAAACGGAAGAATTTTTTTTTAAAAAGAGTAGTAAAGATTAATTTATCTGAGCAAAATGAGGTTATCTATTCAAAATGTGTTTGCCCCCGTGACCGCCCAAAAAATTCTCATAGCCTCATTACTGGCTATAGCCTTCGGTTTTGCTTTTGGAGAATTTTTATTATCCAATATCATACGTATGGCTATGAAAATGGTATGGTTGAAATCTTAAAATAAAACATTTGCAATTGATTTTGCGTTGATGAAGTCTTGTGTTTGAATAGCAACTCCGTGTGACACCCGAAACGAAGACACGAAAAATGTTCGAGACGGTTCCATTTCCACTCAACTTTACACTCTACATATTCAATGTGACCAATAAGGACGAAGTTTTAGCTGGCGGTAAACCTGTATTACAGGAAAGTTTTTGTTCAAAATGATTTATTTTGGTCCATACTACTTTAAGTTGTTCAAAATTTTAATTTTAATTTTGCTATTGTGATATATTACAGGAAATTGGGCCATATTACTTTGAGTACGATATTATTTTAATATTACTTTTAATAAATCATAAATATTATTCCGAATCTTATTTTCGCGCTAAAATAGTAAATCCAAAAATGCCTATTTTATTCTGCAGAGAACACAAAGAGAAATTTGATATTGTGGATAATAAAGATGAAGATACCGTGGAATACGAATTCAAGAATACGTACCAATACAAGCCTAACAAAAATGGTCCTGGTTTGACGGGCGATGAAATAGTCACCGTAGTACATCCGTTTCTTTTATCAACCATACTATTGATCAAGATAGAGAGGCCACAACTTTTGGATTTCATACATAAGTCAGTGAATGGCATATTGCATAATCCACAAGACATTTTCTTCACAGGTCGTTTATGGGATTTTCTTTACGACGGCATTTTCCTCGATTGTTCTTCAAACGAGTTTGAAGTCATTGCGGCATGTTCTGAACTCGATAGCGGTAACTACAGAGAAGTCAAGCGATTCAATGAAACCGCATTCAAATTCTCGATGTTTGGCACCGTAAATATTTAGTGTCAATTCTTGTTTAAATTCAATTTTTCTTACAATCAATCAACAAGTTATACTTGTTTCTTTATCTCCAGCAAAATGGTTCGAGCATTGGCCGTTACAAAGCGTTTCGTGGTAAGAAAAATATCCGTGACGTTGGTCGTGTTGTGGAATACAACGGCATAACCGAAATGGACGCGTGGTATGAGGATGAATGTAACGAGATCACCGGCACAGATGGAACGATTTTTCCACCGTTTGCTGAGAAAGAGGAAGGATTCTCAATTTTCATTCCACAAATGTGCTCAGTAATGACGGCTGAATATCACAGTCCTTCGAAGTATGCTGGCTTTAAGACCAATCACTATACATTCAGTTTTGATGTTACAAAATATGGATCACCCAATTGTTATTGTCGCGATGGAGAATTTTGCCCACCCAAAGGTATAATTGATCTTTTCCCTTGTCTCGGGACGCCTATTGCACTCTCAGCGCCACATTTCTTAAATGGTATGTAAATCAACCATTTATTGTTTTAACCAGATTTTATTTTAATATTATAATTTACTTTTTCATGATTCATCAAGTTGATCCAACTGTGCGTGACAAAGTGATAGGATTAAGTCCAGATCAGGAAAAGCATGTATTTTCTATGGATTTCTATCAGGTATTAAACGATATATCCACCTCGAATATTTTTTTAATTTCAAATATAAAATCGGTTTCAGTTTGCTGGTACACCGGTCAAAGTAAATGCTCGTGTGCAGATCAATGTCGATGTTACGCCAGTTGAAAATATTCCCTTCATGAAAAACTTGCAGCCGATGCACTTTCCAGTCCTGTGGTTTGATAGTGCTTTTGAGTTACCGAAAAAATATGTCAACATGCTGAAATATCAACTCATTTTGTAAGTTTTTCTTTTGAATTTCAAACATGAAAAGTTTTTTTTTCATTAACTTCATTTTTAAATTCTTTTTTGTGCTGTAAAATAACAAGGGGATTGAAAATTAAAAATTGGATCAAATTTGGATGTATTTTTGGAGGTTTATTTGGGGTAGTATTAGGTGCAGTTTTATATATCTTTCAAGATGATGGCGAAAAGCATGAAACGCGTACGATTTCAACCAAATCCGATTCGAATAAATTGATCGATAATCCACAAGTGTTATCAATCGAAGTAATTAGCAATGAATAAATAAATATTAACCTTTGCTATCTAGGACAACGTCTGAATTGAACAAATTATTCAAGGAATAAAAAATGCATTGAATAAAACAATTATTTTACGCTTAAAAAACATTGTTACTTCAGCATTAATCGAACGTATTTGAGATATTACTTCAACTCTTTCGAACGCTTTGTACCAGTTCCACCTTTTCCATAGCATTCACTTTATGCACCGTGTAATGCTCTTAGCGACAAATTCAAGTTTCTAATTATTCAGTAACGATAGCATACTCTACACATAGCAACAATAAAATTAATCCATGATTTAAATAATAATGTTGATACCAGACGCATTTAACCAGAAGCATCATGTATCTTTATGTCTATATAATCTATCTTATTATATGAATTTTTTATTTAAGCTAAGTAATGATTCCAATTTAGCGATACGTACTTGTGTTTGAAGTTTGGTAATAGATTAAACAAATTTTTTAAAAATTTCATCGAAATAACGAAACAGAAAAGAACTCAAATGCATTCGTTTCCACTTTTGAGTCATATCCATCTTCATCATTTTTGAGTTCAGGCACTTTGAGGTGCTTTTATAAGTGCTGTAAACTCATAATCTGTGTCCATCTTGACTAATTAGTTAATTTTCAATCAATAGTTCAATGGTTATTAAATTTCGTGCCGTTGTCTAGAAGAGAAATCACAGGGAGTTAAAAGACTGCAATTTATGAAATAATCCAATATAATTATCGGATAATTTGATAAAAATGCCACTTTTTACAGTCTAGACAAAATCTCGCTGAGAAAGAAGATTATGTGCGAAAATATAAAAGAAAATTGCAATGAAGCAAATGCTTCTTACGTTGTACAATACATTGCACGGTTAAGAGATGATAAAGATATGTGTTGAATATTTTGTTCAGCCTGTCCTTCTGACGAATTTTCGTTATTTTTTTAGCGTTATTTTTACTCCTCGAGAAATATGCCGTTGTCTTAACTTCAAATGTGATGTGCATAAACAAGTTCAATTGGAATGAAAAAAATACAGAACTGTAAATATGAATTTCATTTTGATACTGACATTAATAGTGTATAGGCTTATGAATTGATTTTAAAAAAAATATCAAATGTAGGTGTTCCTTTTTTACTGAATATACATGCAATTGGAAAATAGAATAGATGAATAAAATATTGATAATGAAGCATTTCACTGAACCTTCATTGGTTTTAGAAACACATGACGTTTATTACCTTTCCATAATCAACACTTGTTTTTGTGTACATTTCAAAAGACAGACGTTATCGAATGAAACACAGCTGCTGCAAACACAAATGCTGTTCTACCACAATCGAAGGTTAAACCAATTTGATTGGATTGCAAACAGCGCGTACAATAATAAAAATTCAAACCACAACAACATCAAGGAGAAATGGATTCAAGTCAAAGCACACGAGGTCTTTTTAATTACCCTTATAATTGCAACCAACTGGTTTAAAGTCCGTTTGCACTTTCGATCAATATAATGCCACGATTCATAACCAATGACTAATTTAGTCTGTTTTTACGTATAAAAACATTGAGATCCTTCGACGAATAAGCAATTACGCTGCAATAACCCCTGAAAAATTAATGATTTTGCTCTGATTTTTCGAAATATACCAAATATATATTCATTGGGTTGTATGAGCTACCGATTAATTCGAATACGTAACCAATGTTTGATCCCACGCTCATTCAGTTTGTATAATCAATCAACCAGCTTTGGATGGTTTTAATGTTTTTGTCTTAAGTTACTTAAAATCCTATTGACTTTAAAAATTAGAAACTTTTCCAAAAGACTCATATTTGCAAAAAGCTTTTGAAAAAACTCGAATTATTAAATTATTCATAAACGAAAGAAAAAGAATTGAAAAATAAAGAAAAAAAAATCGGTTGAAATTGCAAACATTATTTTTTGATCGTTTCAAAATGATGTTACCAATCCAAAATTTGTTTGCTCGAATGAGTTACATAAAACTCCTCTTATTCTCATTCTTGGCTATAATTATTATTGGCTTCGGATTTGCAGGATTTGTATTTCCAAAAATCTTACGTATGGTCATAAGAATGGTATGGTTGAAAGTTCAAATAGAACGTTTTCTTATTGCAACTAATCAACCATTATGAATTTGTTGTGCTTGGATAGCAACTTCGCTTGACGCCCGGAACGATGACACGAACAATATTCGAGAAGATTCCATTCCCACTCAATTATAAATTGTATATGTTCAATGTAACCAACAAGGATGAAGTTTTAGCTGGCGGAAAACCGATATTACAGGTAGTAATGAGTATCCAACGTCTTTGATTAATGTAATTTTTAATTAAATTTTCTCTTTAATTTCAATTTCATCTTTCAGGAAATTGGGCCATATTATTTTGAGTAAGAATTGATCAGTTTCAAATATCAATGGCAACATTTTTCTTTAAAAAGAATGGAAAATAACACGTATTTGGAACATAACATGCAGTTTTCATCCTTCGGGATCAAAACTCCCTCTACGTGTACATATCATTTAAAAATATATTATTTTCTAAATCCTCATTTTTTCGTAGAGAATACATCGATAAGTTTGATATTGTGGACAACAAAGATGAAGATACAATAGTATACGAATTCAGGAAAACATATCAATACAAACCTGAAAAAAATGGTCCTGGTTTGACGGGCGAAGAGATAGTCACTGTAGCGAACCCGCTACTTTTGTCAGTGATACTGGCGATCAATACAGATAGACCAGATCTTCTGTCATTCATACATAAGGCAGCCAATGGCGTATTACATAATCCACAAGATATTTTCTATACGGGTCGTTTATGGGATTTGCTGTATGATGGTATTGTTCTAGATTGTTCTTCTGATCAATTTGAAGTCACTGCAGCGTGTTCTGAATTCGATAGCGGCGACTATGGAGAAATTCGGCGAATCAATGACACTGCATTTTTGTTCTCTATGTTTGGCAATGTAAATCTTTTTATGGGCATGTTGTTTTATAATTCATCTATATTCGTTCGTATGATCTCGTACCTACTCTCTCATTGGTTTTCAGACGAATGGTTCGAGCACTGGCCGTTACAAAGCATTCCGTGGAAAGAAAAATATCATGGATGTTGGCCAGGTGTTAGAATACAACGGTATATCAGAAATGGACGCTTGGTATGAGGATGAATGTAACCAAGTCTCAGGCACAGATGGAACAATTTTCCGTAAATAAATTTTCTTCAAAGACGAAGAAAAATACGAAAACTCAATGAATTTAAAAATTACAGCGCCATTTCAGCAAAAACAAGACGGATTCACCATTTATATTCCTCAAATGTGTCGAGGAATGACGGCTGAATATCAACAATCTTCGAAATTTTCTGGCATTAAAACCAATCGTTATACAATGAGTTTTGATGTTTCAAAATACGGATCGCCCAATTGTTATTGTCGTAATGAAGACTCGTGTCCACCTGAAGGTATTCTTGATCTATTCCCATGTGTCGGGACAACCATTGCGATTTCATTGCCACATTTTTACAAAGGCATGTAACTCCACCACCAATTATTACTCTTGTCATCATTTATTATTATTATTTGTACCAGATTCCAATTGAATCGAATCAATTCATGGTAAACCGATTTTCAACACAATTTTTTGCGAATTTAGTTGATCCAGCTGTTGGTGAGAGATTGATTGGATTAAATCCAGATCCGGAGAAGCATGAATTTTATCTCGATTTCTATCAGGTTCTTATCCATTTTAAAGTGTTCTATCGTGCAAATTTGGTTTTTAAATTTGAAATATGTTTCAGTTGGCTGGTGCTCCAGTGTCTGCGATGCCACGAGTTCAAGTCAATTTCGAAGTAGTTCCAATTGAGGAAATTCCCTACATGAAAGACTTGCAGCCGATGTACTTGCCACTCCTGTGGTTAGAAGACGGTGTTGACATGCCGAAAAAGTTTATCAACATGCTGAAATATCAACTCATTTTGTAAGTAATGAATTTGGTTAAGGAAACCGAAAAAACTATTCTTCCAAAAACCGAAAATCATTCTTGGATTCGTTAATTATTTTAAAAACTTCCCAAAATATAGAGCGTTGAAGTTTCAAAAACTAATGCAGTATGGATGTATCATTGGAGGTATAATTGGTTTAATTATGGGTGGTATTGCTGGTTACATTCAAACGGAAAAATGGAGTGACCATCCATCCAAAAGTGTTATCAATCGATGTGATGAGTAGCGATGAAAAATATTGATCGTCTGCAAAAAAGTCTAAATTGATCAATGAATTTGAGTTCATAGACTTGAAGAATACATGAAAAATGCATATTTCAAGCTTCATGTTAATGCCAAAAGAATGCTATCGCTTGTTGACGCTAAAGTTAAATCGCTTGTTGACGCTAAAGTTAAATCGCTTGCACCACGCGCCAATTATTGATTTAGAATCCGAATAAAATGTTATTCACACAAAAGTGTGTACTGTTAGGAGCTTGGTTTGCTGCTTAATGATGAAATATTCAACATTGGTGTTTTATTTTTCTAAGGATGAAAATAGAAATAACAAGATGAATATGGAACATACTACATGAACATCAAGGAATTTACATGGCCATCAAAAGGCCATTTCGATTCAAATCGTGTGTAGATATATTGAATACGTGTCGTTGTGAGGGACATTTAGCACATGGAGAAAATGATAAAAAACAGAGATGACTTTAGCGCACCCGAGTATTTGTGTTCTCCCTTCTTCGTTATGTTACAGAAAATATTATTTAAAAAAAATCCTGGCTAAAAAGCTAAAGTAGAACGAAAAAACAACAAAAATACTGGGGTGCGCTGAAGTCATCTCTAATAAAAAAAAATGCGCACAATTTTTCCCGAACAGCAGCAATGAAACAGAAAAAAATGAGGAATTAAATCGAATCCAGTGTACACGAAGCATTTTTAAATAGCACCGTAATTACAACCAATCGATCAAAAGTCCATTTAGCAAATACTTGTGCATATGAAAAACAGTGTATGGTCATGACTAGCTTTCAATGTTTCTGTTTCAAAGGGAAAATAGCCATCCTTCCATGAATCAGTAATTATTCGAGGCCTTTCTACCGAGTACCCTGAAAAATAAATGATTTTTTATTGATCTTTTCAAAATATGCCGATTAATTTCGATGGATTTCGAATTTTACCCAATCAAACGACGTCATTTGACTGTGTCAGCAATTGGTCGAGCTCAGTTTGGATTATTGTTTCAATAGCTCTAGTCGTTATTGTGAATTTGCCTTTAATTTCTAGTTGAAGAAATATTTTATTACTCTTTGGATATTTTTTCTGTCTAAATTGGATTCAAAGAAATTTATTAACTTTAAAAACAGTGCCAAATCAACGGCACATATAATTTGCTGAAACTCGATAAGTTTGATCATCACACGTGAAATAGTAAAGAAAAGGGAATAAAATCAGATTTTGTCCTTTCTGGATGTGAAATTCGGTTAAAATCGTTAAACTAATTCGTTTATCGGTGCAAAATGATGTTACCATTTCAAAATTCGTTTGTTCGAATGAACTACGTTAAAATCCTCTTGATGTCAACCGGAGCTATAGCAGTCGGTGTGGTATTTGCAGGATTTTTAATGCCCAAAATCATTCGTATGGCCATGAAAATGGTATGTCAATTGATTGTATTGATGAAATTGGTCAATTTGGCTGCTTACATTTTCCTATATTTTTTTAATTGGTATCATTGAATAGCAACTTCGCGTGACTCCAGGAACAATGACGCGAGATATGTATGAGAAGGTTCCATTCGCGCTAGATTTTTCAGTGTACATTTTTAATGTTACAAACAAGGTATAATAAATGACCAATATGTCAAGATTTCAATTTTTACATTGGTTTCAAACTATGTTTTTTTTCTGTCACTAGGACGAAGTTTTGGCTGGCGGAAAACCAATATTACAGGTACTTTGAGTAATGCATTTTTTTCACATTTTCATGCAATTTCAATTTGTATCTTTGATTTTAATATTTTCTACAGGAACTTGGCCCATACTACTTTGAGTAAGTATACAAAAATTGACTTTTTATCACATTAATTCAAAATTTTCGATTGAAATTTCAATTTTTCCAAAAAATCGAATGATTCATTAAATCAATGAAAACCAAATATCTTTGAATTGAATTAAAATTTGCATTGTTCATAGTGCTAAAACATTCAAATTTTATTTTTCATGAAAAAATCGCGATTTTTCTATAGAGAATTCAAAGACAAAGTTGAAATTGTGGACGACAATGAAGAAGATACAATGGAATACGATTACAGAAATACGTACCAATACAAACCGGAACGAAATGGTCCCGGTTTGACCGGCAATGAATTCGTCACCGTAGCACATCCGCTCCTGTTGGCAATGATACTGTCGATTAATGTTGATCGACCAGAGCTTTTGGCATTCATCCAAACGGCAGTGAATGGACTATTGCGAAATCCACAAGATATTTTCTTCACTGGGCGTTTATGGGATTTGCTGTATGATGGTGTCGTTCTTGATTGTTCGTCAGAAGATTTCGAAGTCAACGCAGTTTGTTCAGAGTTTGACAGTGGTGACTATGCCGAAATTCGGCGAATCAATGAAACCGCATTCTCATTCTCTATGTTTGGCAATGTAAGTGTTTACAAACTTATTCTTCTTTAGTTTTGTTCTTAATCGTATTCATTCATATATTCATCTTTTTCACGTTAAGTCGAATGGTTCAAGCATTGGTCGTTTCAAAGCGCTTCGTGGTAAGAAAAATATCCGTGATCTTGGTCGCGTTTTGGAGTACAACGGTTTAATCGAAATGGACGCGTGGTATGAGGATGAATGTAACGAGATCACCGGCACAGATGGAACAATTTTCCCGCCATTTTATGAGAAAGAAGAAGGATTCACTATTTTCATTCCACAAATGTGTCGGGCAATGACGGCTGAATATCAACGTCCATCGAAATATGCTGGCATAAAAACCAATCAATTTACACTCAGTTTTGATGTTACAAAATACGGATCACCCAATTGCTACTGTCGCGATGGAGAATTTTGCCCACCCGAAGGTTTACTTGATCTATATCCTTGTGTCGGCACACCTATCGCGATTTCGGCCCCACATTTTTACAAAGGTATTTGATCAACATTTGATTTAGTGCTTGAATATGGACACTATGAAATTAATTTTAGCACAGATTACACAATTTATTCTAAAAAAATATGACAAGTGGAAATCATCAACGTACAGTCATGGAAATTCAATTAGGACCGGCATTGAAATTTCCGATTTTTCGAAAAATTTTGTCATTTTTTGTATGGAAAGTCTTAATAATTTTTCCCGCAGTTTTTGGGCAATTTCATCAATAAATGATATCCATTACCGAAAATAATGAAATTGATAGTCTAGTCCATTTATAAAAACTTCAAATATTCTCATAAACATCATTTCATGAATATTTTTTTGTAAAATAACAGAATTAATGGGAAAAAACTGAAATTTCAATGCCGGTCCTAATTAAATTTCCATGACTGTATATATAGCCTTGTTTGTTTTATCAAATTCATCAATAATTCTTGTTGTCGTTTGTTTTTCTTCACAAAATTAGTTGATCCAGCGGTGCTTGAGAAAGTGATTGGATTGAATCCCGATCCAGAAAAGCATGAATTTTTCATGAATTTCTATCAGGTTCTTGTCTGAGCCAACATTTTTTCTATTGTTATACGAATTTGACCATAAAATGTATTTCAGTTTGCTGGCGCACCGGTCGAGGCGTATGGTCGTCTTCAAGCGAATTTCGAAATTGTTCCAGTTGAAGAGGTTCCGTACATGAAAGACTTGCAATCGATGTACTTGCCACTCATGTGGATCGAAAACGGTGTTGGCTTATCAAAAAAGTACACCAACATGTTGAAGTATCAGCTGATTATGTAAGTTGAAACGGACTTTAATTACAAAGGTATTTCATTAATCCATTGAAATTATTTTTCTGGCAAAAATATGAAGGGGCCTACGAATTCAAAAACTAATGAAATATGGATGCATAATCGGAGGTGTCGTTGGACTAATTATCGGCGCAGTTGCCGGCTTCTTGCAAAGTGAAAATGAAAGCAATGAAACGCGTTCGATTTCAGCTAAATCAGATGCGGTATTGGTGGAAAATCCAAATGTACAATCGATCGAAGTGGCTAGCAATTGATAATGAATATTTACCTTTGCACTCCACAGCAGTGGCCATTGAGCAAATAGTTTACATGTTAGTGCTGCAGAAATATTGCTAAACTCACTCGCATATTATCAAAATTTTAAGATCAAATTAAGATTCAATTTTTGAAATATTAGTCCAAGTGTTGAAAATGTTCAAAGCTACGTACCCAATATGTTGGCGGAAGCTAATAGCGTTTAGAAAAAAAATCTTTACAATAAAAGATTATATTTTTGTTGATTCAACATACCGAATAAATTAAATAGTTTATTTATTTTCCTTAACTCTAGTTACATTGACTGTGATTTTGAATTCAAATTTTCCTTATCAACTAGTCAACAAATTTGTGCATTATGACTTTGGTTTATTTGTTCATCATGATTTATTTAATCGACCTCTTCAATTTTTGGACCACGCTGACTGTTGAAGTTGTTTCCAGTTTGTTGGCCGCAGCTGCTTGGTCCACTTCCCGCTCCACCAGTGTGGATCTTCGTCGTGATTGGCGAGCAAATCTGGCTGACTTCTTGCATTTTGTGTTCAAATTCATCTTTATCGGCCAATCCGTTGCTATCAATCCATTTGATGGCTTCCTCGCAGCAATTACGTGCCTTTGATTTATCATCGTCGCTCAATTTGTCACCAGCTTGGTCGATTGCTTGTTTCACACTGAATACATATGCTTCCAGGCTGTTACGAGCAGAAATTCTTTCGCGTTGTTTCTCATCATCTTCACGATATTGTTCGGCCTCAGA